TATTGAAAAAGTTTCATCACCAAAACTTAGTGGAATATTTAATTGAGGAACTCTTGGCTGCCTATCATATTACATGGCTGAGCTAGTTTCTTACAAGAACTATTACGTGCATAAGCTAGAGGTTGCATAGAGAAGGATAGCACTAACACGAGAAGCAGCCCAAAAAAAAAAGCTTTTCTAAGGCGGGAAGCGTATAACTGGGCTCTCTGCTGGTGCACTTCCTCTTTATCTATTTTTTTCACATCATACATGTTGAAAAGCTCATCTATGGACTTGAGCTGCTATTAAGTATGTGTGAGAGTCAAAAATTTGGAGAGGAATTGAAGCACTTCTAGGTGGTGCTTGAAGGTGTCTTTGAATGACTTTCGATTCTGAAGAGTTAAATTTCCATGCAATGAAGTTGTACAATTAGGAAAACTCTAAGAAACAAAACATGTCCTTATTCCCAATCAAATGTTCAAATCTTCCAGAACATATGTGCATGATACTGAAGATTGGTTTACCAATTTACGAGTTGGCATATGTCCTTGTTAATAATGAATTTGCATATGGTAAAAGCAGTGTTCGTTTTCTGTCTCCTTTTTTTCTTTTCTTTTGTGATGGTAGAAGAGGCAGGGGGAGAGGTTGGGTGATGGGGGAGGTGCATGGTGACCCCTTTTGTGCTTTCTGAATTGAGTAATCTTTACTGATCATATACTTTCATCAATGAGATGTGTTCTTCTTTGGATATCCAACTTTCTTCCTGTATTTTGGGGCCTACATGTGTTATATTTTGTGTCACAGGTTGGACATTCCATTCATATTGGTGGATTGGTGAGGTTAGATATAGAAGAATTGTCGACAGATTCTCTTTATGTTACAGTCTGGGCGTCCCCTCTTCTCCCACTTCACATGGGGAGGACAGAGAATGCTTCTACCATGTTGGAAGAACATTTTGGTCGCCAATTACAGGTACAATGTACATTTTTTTTGGGGAGGGGGATGGGGGAGAATGCAGATGGATCATAAATTAGCCAATGTTTGTCTTTTAGGAGAATTTCATTCAAGCTTTCCATTGTTCTGTTTCGGCACTCATAGCCATGGTGTCTATTGATACACAAAGCATGATCTCATCAACCAATTTTTTATGCTTCCTGCTTGTGGAATTGAAAATGAAGTTTGTATTGGAATCTTCATAGTTCCAGGAAAGTTTTAGCTAATGCATCTCAAAATTCAAGGTCTTGTATGTGCTTAGGATGAAGTAACCATTGCTGCATTTACCTAATTAGGTAACTTTTAAAGTTTTAGACTTTCAGACTCTTCTGCTTTTGTGTTATTAAGCGGAGCTTCCCGTCTAGAGGAGAATGTTTTTAAGCTAGAAAGAGATGTTGCAATAATTGTAAGTGTGGTTCATTAGACATCAGCTTTACGTAACCACTAAATTATGAAGTGAAATTCGTCATTTCTGTGTATGATGGAGGAAATCATCACATTATGGTTGCTGAATACTTGAAAATGATTTAGACATAGATGTACTTTGCTGGTAGCAAAACAACTTGTCAACCTGATTAGTCTCCTTATACCTAATAAAAAGACATCATGTGATGTGATTTGTAATATTTTGCAGTTTGTACCTCATTAGTTTGTTTACTTTTTGCTCTGATAAGCTTCTGATCTTGCTTGATGTTTCCTTCTTTCATACTGATTTGAAGGCTACGGTAAAAATATTCATAACAGACAATGTAAAAAATCCTCAATGAAAGCGTGGTTAAAATTTTTTTAAAAATTTTTCTTGACTTAAGAAAATGTTCATTCTACAGCCTGATGATCTGAATTTTAGAATGCTGCCTTAAGTTTACTAATGATTCTTGCATGGTTGGGGTAGGAATTGTCGGAGTTGTTTTTTTTCCCCCTTGAACTTTCTCTTATGTATTTGTCCACTACTGAGTGTCCTGTTGTATATGTTAATGTCCTTATCTCAGCCTCCTATTGGAGAAGAACAAGTTGAGAAGCTTGGGAAATGGGTGAGAAAGGAATTTCAAGTGAGTGGAAACTGTTGGGATACAAGTTGTGTTGATATTGCAGCTGCAGGTCTTGGTTGGTTTGCCATTGGACTTAGAGGAGAGGCTTTGTTGGGTGTTTGGACATATGATGGAGTTGACATTGTTTCCCGCAATGCTTTGCTTCCTCAGAGATCACACAATTTTGAAGTTGCGGGCTTCACAGTCTCAAAAATTGTCTCCACAGCAGACCGAGCATCCAATAAAAAGCGCAAGGATGAAAAGAAAAGAAAAGCAAGTGACTCCATAGCTGTAGCTGCTGATGCTCCTCCAGCATTAACTGTGGACGCTGCTGCCAGTTCTTGTTGAGACTGCAACATAAGCTACTGCAGAAATATGAAAATTTTTGGTTACCTAAACAATGAACGAGTAGAACAATTGGCCGATACAACCAAGAAAGAATGCTGTAGAGCAGGACTGAAAACGAGGCTTAATCTAAAGCCCTGCGGGAGTTTCTGAAGATTATCAAGTTTCAATGGGAGTAGAAGTCAAAGCTTCTCAACTACCCACCCTGCCAAAGATAGCATCAATCTTCATACATTCTATTTAAGTTAGCTGCATGCAGTTCAAGAGATATTACTGCATCGGCCAGGTCTCCAATTGAACCTCATGCGAGATCAACATGTTTGCCAGCGGGGAAACTGAGCAGAGACACATTGAAGTTCTGCTTGTGCATCATGGTTTGATCATGTTGCTCTTTTCAGTTGTTGATGGTAATCAAAGGCATCTGTTGTCATTGTTTGTGGTAAAATTGGTTATCTGATTTATAGGCCTCTCTCCAAGAAGTTGTATATTTAGCTGAAAAAGATTGTCTGTCTATCATGTCCATCATGGCCTGCTTTTAGTTATACATGCCTTTTCAAACAGGTTCTTGGAAGTGAAGTTTTTACATGGTTTTCCTTGATGAGTAATGGCTTTATTTTCATATATCCTTTTTAATATAGAAACTATTTCTAAGATGGATGGTGAATCCAACTTGTTCATTCAAGGAATTTCCTCTTCTTTCTGGTGGTGGTAATTTATTGGGCATGATTGTTTTACAGGCTGTTGCTCATATACAGTACTATGGCTGCACCTGCATTTGTGTGTGTGTGTGAATATTTTCCACTTCTATAGAGAACTGAGACATCTTCAGCCCTGCAAATCTAAACATTAGGTATACTTTTCTTCTATTTTTCAAGCATCAGTCTACATTTCATAGTTTTCTTGTTACTAAAATGAAGCTTCTTCTTGATTATACGCCATCTTTCCAAGCACATTTTATCTAAAATCTGACTTTGCCAGCGACCAAGTAAAATGTTCAAAACTAGCAAAACAAGGACTAGAGAGACGCATGTATGAACAGCCACTATGTGTATTACAGATGGCCCATGATAATAATTTCCATTCACCTGACCTATTATCACCAATTTATTAATAAAAGAGAAAAATGTTGTTTTGGTACCTAAATTTTGACATATGAACAGTTTTAATTCCCAAAATTTGGACAATGATAAATCTAGTACCTAATTTTTCAACTATTCAGCACATTTAGTACCCCTGATAGATTTTTCCTAAATTACTACTGAAAAAGGTCAAGTGATAGTCACGTCTAACAACTATTGTATAAAAAATGTCAAAGAAACGTAAAATATCCTTTTGACACTAGGTGTCATGTAAAATATCCTTTTGACATTAAGTACTAAGTTTAAGGACTAACAATTTTATTAAAAGGATATTTTACATTTTTTGACATTTTTTTATATAATAATTGTCGGATATGTAACTATCACATGACTCTTTCTGGTAGTAATTTGAAAAAAAAAAACTATCAAGGGTACTAAATGTGCTCAAAAGTTGAAAGTCTGGGAACCAAATTTGTTTTCGTTTAAAGTTTGGGAACGAAATCTGCTCATCTATTAAAGTTTGGTATCAAAACTGCATTTCTCTTTTAATAAAAAATATGGAGTATACAAATTATGATGGTGAGCTACCAACCCATATTTATTATAAATATTATATATATGTCATTTGGTTGATATTCCATGTGGGCTGGGGATAGGTAGTTAGAGGATGCATTTCTTCAAGCTTTAAAACACCCAGATCTACCTTCCATTTTCACAGCTAATCATTTTATTTGAAGGTTAAGTGCACTTTACTCCCTCAATTATAGATGCTTCCCCTCTTATATATGATCAACTTACCACCTCAGGGCTATTCAGTTTTTGTGAGATTTTAACATGTACCCATCCATGTACCTTACTTGATGGAGAATGTTTTTTATCAGATGAGTCACAATATCTATACATATCTTAACATGTCCAGTTGCCGATATATAGAATTTTCCCAAATCTCCCAAATGTTTTTTTGTATTTGGACCATTTATTACATTAAGCATTTGGATAGATTACCATATTGAATAGAACATAAATTCTTAACAATGGATTGATGAGAAGAAATGTACTGTGATTTTGACTAGAATCTGCAATCACTTAATGTAAGGGGCAAAAAAATTATTTGTACTTATCGCCTACTAATATATTCATCATGTTGTATTATAGTTTTGACACAACAAAACTATTTAATTGAATAATGTAATAAAATTACTAAGATAATGCCCCGGCGGGCAGCTCGAATGGTATCTTCCTTGGTCTTTACCTAAGGTCACCAATTCGAATCACATTGATTATTGTGCAATACATTTTTTAAAAAGCTTCTACACCAGGGTAGAGAATTAGTCTGACGTAAATCAGGATACTTCCTGCATAAGAAAAAAAAAACAAAGATAATCCTTAGAAAAAAAAAAGTTACTAAGATAACATAATAGATGTGATTATGATTAAGGGTCAAAATTGCACTTTATCCATAATTCAGCACCATCTCAGATTCATTTAACTTTTAGGCACAAACATACTAATGCTATAAATCATATTTAAGACCATTTGACAGAACATTCAAATTTACACTGGTCAAAAAGGAGAAGAACATGGAAAATTCAGCTGAAAAAGTGACAAGAGACAGTAGACAGTATAGCAGGAGTAGTGGTGTACTTCTTGTTGGTGGTGTGGCCACTCTGGAGTCTGGACTGAATCTCTGAGGAACCAAATAAACACCAAAATCCCTTTTGTTTCAGGATACAGATAGATCAATGATTCCTTCTTCCTCTTGTCTGTAAATTCCCCATCTTCAATTATCAACCGAGCCACCCCAACACTTCTGCACTCGCAGAACACCGTCGCCAGTTTATGCTCTCTTTCTCTCTCTCCAGACAAAGAAATACGGTAACACAACTGCTATTTCTGCTTCAGACAAGCCTAGAATCTGAAGGACTTTGATCTTTCTTCCTTCTAGTAGGGAAACCAGCATCATGTCTACTAAATCCAAGTAAGTTTCTTTCTTGCAGATCTGATGTGGGACATTCTTTCTTTGTTTCTTAGCTCTGTTTTTACCCTCATTTTTTCTTGTTTTTGGGCTGTTTTTCATCAGCTGCTCCGCAGTGCCGCATTAGTCTCTGATATGGGATTTTTTTTCCCCCTTGCTGTCTTTATTTCTGTTGGGGTTCTGTAATTCTTTCCATTTTCTCTGTCTTGGTTGTTTGCTTTTGCTGCTTGTCCCTGCTGCGAAGCACGTGATTACGGAATTGTGGTCTGTTCGGTTAATCCCTTGGTTTGTGCACTTGTATATTTTTGAATTTAGGTTGCTTGCTAGAGTCCTAATTTGCTGATATGGATCTGGGATCTGAACTTCTTGCTTAAACTAAATAAATTTCGCTGGGGATTATTGTCATCTTTGCTTGTTTGTTTTCTCTGTTTCCTTTTCTTGGTCCATCGGGATGGAATGTGTCAATAGATCTTCATTCTTTGCTTTAAAGTTGTAAAGATTACATTTTGTTTATCTCTTTGTATTGAATGATAAGTCATGAATTGGATCATAATCTGCTGAATATGATATTCAACCAGTCATGTAATGGTGCCATTTTGTGAACTCCAAACAGATCTAGTGGTTTTTCTGAAACAACTCCAAATAGCAAAGTATCACCTGCAACCCCAAAGGTTAGTAAACTCAGCAGCAGGGGGGGAGTGACTAAATCTGCTACTGATTCACCTTCCCGCCTGCAAAGTACACGCATTTCACTTAATCTTTCACCAAGATCTGTTGCTTCCAAGCCTACAGTCGACCGCAAGCCCACGAAGCTTGGTACCCCTCCTGATGTAAGTTTTCATGAACTCCTTCCTGTTGCGTAGCCAAGCTCCTGTTCTATAAGTGATACGGTTATCATTCTGCAGAAGAAACCGACTGCATCTCCAACTCCAACTCGTATATTGAAGCCGTCAGAACTACAGGCTGAACTAAATATTGTCCAGGAAGATCTCAAGAAGGCCAAAGAAAAGCTAGTCTCATTAGAGAAAGAGAAATCGCAGGCTCTTGAAGAATTAAAGGAAGCCAAGAGTTTGGCTGACGAAGCAAATGAGAAGCTCAGTGAGGCTTTGGTGGCTCAAAGGCGAGCTGAAGAAGATTCTGAGATTGAGAAATTTCGAGCAGTTGAGATGGAACAGGCTGGCATTGAGGCAGCTCAGAAGAAGGAAGAGGAATGGCAGAAAGAGCTTGAAGCTGTGAGGAATCAACATGCATTGGATGCGTCCGCCCTACTTTCCGCTACTCAGGAGCTTCAGAGGGTAAAGCAAGAGCTTGCCATGACTTCTGATGCAAAAAACCAGGCACTCAGCCATGCTGATGATGCAACTAAGATTGCTGAGATTCATGCTGGAAAGGTTGAAATTCTGTCCGGTGAAGTTGTCCGGTTGAAATCTTTGCTTGATTCAAGGATGGAAATAGAGGCTGATGAGAATGCCAAATTAGTGGCAGAGTTGAAACTAGAGATAGAGACTTTGAAGCAAGAACTCAAGAATGCAAAAAGCTACGAGGAGATATTGGCAGAAAAGGAGGCTAGTCTTGAGCAACTTAATGTTGAGCTGGAGGCTGCAAAAATGGCAGAGTCTTATGCGCACTGTTTAATGGATGAATGGAAAAAAAAGGTTGAAGAATTAGAGCTTCAAACAGAGGAAACAAAGCGGTTGGAAAGATCAGCATCAGAATCTCTCGAATCAGTAATGAAACAACTTGAAGGGAGTAATGATTTGTTGCATGATGCAGAATCTGAGATTGCATCTCTTAAAGAAAAGGTCGGATTGTTAGAAATCTCAAATAGAAGGCAGAAAGCAGATTATGAGGAATCAGAACGTCATCTTCAGATGGCCAAGGAAGAAGCTTCTAATCTGGAAAACAAGGTTGAATCTCTTACAGCTGAGCTTGAAGCCGTGAAGGAGGAGAAAACTCAGGCCTTAAACAATGAGAAACTTGCTGCTTCCAGCGTGCAAACCCTATTGGAAGAGAAAAACAAGCTCATAAATGAGTTGGAAAATTCTAGGGATGAAGAAGAGAAAAGTAAAAAGGCAATGGAAAGCTTGGCATCAGCCTTGCATGAAGTTTCTTCAGAAGCAAGAGAAGCCAAAGAAAAGTTGCTCTCTGTCCAAGGTGAGCATGAAAATTATGAAACACAAATAGAAGATCTGAAGCTTGCTCTGAAAGAAACAAATGAGAAGTATAAGACCTTGCTTGATGATGCAAAACAAGAAATCGACGTTCTAACCAATTTGAATGAGCAATCTAAGCAGAAGCAGGAAAACTTGAAGAGTGAGTGGGCGCAGAAGGAACTTCAACTGATGACCTCTCTCAAGAAAATTGAAGAAGTTAACTCTTCAAGGGAAAAAGAGATAAGCAGATTGGTTAATTTGCATAAAGCGGCAGAGGATGAAGCTGGAGCAAAAAAGGAAGAAGAAATTCGTTTGACGACTCTGCTTAGGGAAGCAGAGTCTGAGGTCTCTTATTTAAAGGAAGTTCTTGGAGAAGCTAAGGCAGAAAGCATGAGCTTGAAAGAAAGTTTATTGGACAAAGAGAACGAATTTCAGAATATTCTTCAGGAGAATGAGGAGCTCCGAAATAGTGAAGCTGCCTGTCAAATGAAGGTCGCAGAGTTGTCTAAATTGCTTGAAGAAGCTTTGGCCAAAAAGCAAGCTGAAGAAAATGGTGAGCTTACAGACAGTGAAAAAGATTATGATATGCTCCCAAAGGTGGTGGAATTTTCTGAACAAAATGGAGGTGGAAGCCAAGAGAAGCCAAAGATGGAGCTCTCCACTCAGCAATCTGAGCATCATCTTGAGGAACACCTTCCAGAACTAGAAAAACTCTCACATGATGATGCTCTACAGACTGGTGCTGAGAAAGATGTATTAAATGGAAGACCAAAAGAAAATGAGAATAAAGATAAGGAAGACGATGACTCTGTAGAAGCTGATTCAAAAATGTGGGAAAGCTACAAGGTTGGGGAAAAAGACTTCTCTCCAGAGGGGGATGCTGAGCAGGAATCTATTGAGGAGGACTTGGAATCTAAGGCTGATGGTAGTGAGGGCAATGACCAGGCTAATGGGCTTCCTTCAAAAGAAAACTTTGATGACAGTGGAAGTTCACCAACTAAGCAGCAAGGTCAGAAGAAGAAGAAAGCTCTGCTCCGCAAGTTTGGCAGCCTACTCAAGAAGAAGGGCACTAGCAACCAGAAATAGTATACCTATGCCCATGTAACATCTTTGTAAACATGAACATGGTTATGTCACTTTGTGCGTGTGATTATTCTCATGTATGCATACTGATTGGTTTTGTAACAAGTTTTTACTGTCGAGATTTTGTTAATTACATTTCATTTCCAACCAATTATTCTTTTTTTTTCGTCTTTAATTGATTCTTAGATGAAACTGTAAGCAATTTTGGGAATGCTGTATTATAGAAGCTTCTAATTCTTCTACAATGCTCAAACATAACACGATACATGCTGGAACAAAGGGAAACTAGCATACTAACAAAAATTGAAGATGGGTATACATGGTGTTCCTTGCTACTAGGGCTTTATTCTGCCACCTTTCTTATTTTTGTTCTCAGAATTTGAAGATCCATAGCAGTATGAGAAACAGAATGCTATGAAAGGCATTGGCCACCTTCAAGGAGTTTTACACTACACTGGCTTGTGACTGCCTCGATGAGGAAGATCTTGAAGGACAAGTCAAACAAGAGCAAACAATGGGAATCTCTGCCTATGCAAACTTTTGCTGCTCAAACTACAGGTAATATATTGCTACTTTATGATAACCTTGTTTTCACTTTACATGGTCTGTTGTAAATTAGTCCTTTTATTGATTTCTAATGAATTTGTGGTGCATTTGCTGGTTTACAAGTGTTCATGTTGTCTTTCATCATGAAACTACCAGTTAAGTTGAATAAATATTAAGCAAAACAAACAAGAGTTTCATATTTTGAGAATGATGGAAGAAACTAAATTTCTCGAGTACATATTCCGTGCTTCATCATATGTATTTTATGTCCCCTAATCTGATAGATTTATTTGAGAAATATTTCTCTGTTTATAGAGAAGGTAGTATCTAAAACCTTTTCTATCTTGCATTTGGATGGTATTTCCGCACTGAAGCCTTACTTTTGAAATCATGTTGAACTCTAGTTTTGGGTTCTCAGATTTGGTCCTATCTGCAGAAACTGGTTAACAATAAATCTGCTAACATGATGACCTGAATTTTGCTGGCCTTAGGAGTTCTGTATCATGATAAATGCTGCTATAGTGAAAATTGCTTCAGATGTACTGTAGAAGCTCAGGAAAAGAGATTGTTCATGCATAGGAATAGGTATTCAAAGTGTAGTTATCTTTACCTTTTTCTTCTCACGCAAGTCAATTTTGGACTTGTTTGAGTTTCACTTTTCTGATGATCTTCAAAATCGGACGTGGAAATTAAGATGATGCTACTTAACTATGGTTCCTCATTTGCCTGGCTGTACCTATCGCGTGAGAGATTCTGACCCTAAAAAGCTGGAGTTTTAAATAATGCACACGCCTAAATCCCCAATGACAAGTCTCCTGTTGATAAAAACTCGCATGATTGATGAGCATAAGATTCCAGTATTTCGGAAGGTGTTTTTTCAATCAAGCTTCTTGTGCGGCTGTGCCTCATATGTTCAAAAATCCGGAAATTGTTATCAGAATTTGCCAATGCAATCTATTTTTTTGTAGATGTTACAATTGAGGCATAATGTGAAGTTGAAGGACATGACTGCAGACAAGTTTTCCTGACTCATATTTGTATCAGATGGTTGGACTATATCATTGTAGTTAAAATGGTGGTTTGATGCTTCAGATTTTCATTTTTATTTCGGAGGAGAAGGGCTGATTAGTTTTGAAGACAAATGATGAGAATTTGCAAGCATGGATTTAACAAGTGATGAGATTTTGCTTAGACTGACAAGAGGAGCAGGTATTTAGTTCACATGAATGACTAATTCGAAACCAGAATTTTTCTCAAATGGATCATTATGTTAATTTCTTCTAAAATACAAGTTTTAGTTTAACCAGTTGGATTTTGCACCTAAAATTATGTATGCTAGTCTTCTGTCCTCTGGTAATCTAGTTGTCGTTGTTGGACTGCTATCCTTCATATGCTGTTATGCAAAACCTGGAAAAGTGAAGGCTTAAAAAAGTCAAGGCCAAGGTCATTTATGAACCAGTCTGAAACTGTTGTAATTATAACATTTTTGAGCGATGAAGTTATAAATTTTCCTTCCGTAACATGCACAAGCATATGCGCATGCTCTTAGTATCTGATAGTGTATATTCCGACACTTGAACTGTGGTCTTGGGTTTGGAAGGTCAAAACAAAGTCCAAGATTAAACATTTCCTTTGGCTAGCTTGCCAAAACAGACTGCCTTCTAAGGCACTTCTCCTTAAGAGAAATATCATTTTTGACTCTTTTTGCCCTCGCTGCAACCATTCCTGTGAAGACTCAGCTCATGTTCTTAGATATTGCCCACATGCTTCCTCCTTTTGGCAAAGCCTCAACATTCCCACTTCCTTTGATCTGGATTTTACAGTTTGGCTTAAAAATGGCTGTCTGTCCAAGCATATTTCTCCATTTTATGGAATCCCCTGGGGTACTATTATCTCTTTTGCCTGCTGGAATCTTTGGATTGCCAGAAACAAGGCTATTTTTGAACCATCTATTCTCTTCTCCATTCTGCACAATACTCTAGCAATGGTGGCTGAATACTCCTTTTTAGGACCTATTCAGAACATAGTACATCCTAGAACAGAAGTGCTCATTAACTGGATTCCCCCCGAACCTTGCTCTTTCAAAATCAATACTGATGGATCTTCCATAGGGAATTCGGGTCCAGCTGGATCAGGTGGCTTGATCAGAAATCACCTAGGACACTGGATAGCTGGGTTTAGCAGAAAACTGGGATACGCTACCAATATTCTTGCTGAGTTGTGGGGGATAAGGGATGGACTATCCTTAGCTTCCTCTCTAAACTTGCAAAATGTTGAATTAGAAGTTGATGCTAAAACTGCTCTACACCTGCTTAAATCTGCAGATACCTCAACTCATGAGTATGCTTCAATTATCTCTGATTGCAGGTTCCTGATCTCTGCTCTGCCGAAAGTCACACTTAGACATGTTTACCAAGAAGCAAATCAGTGTGCTGACAGATTGGCGAAATTAGGTGCTCAACAAGACGTGAATTTTGTATGCTATGAAAGTATCCCTTATGCTTTGAGAGGTCTAGTAGATGCAGATCTTAAGGGAATTTGTGTCTCGCGTTTTGTACCTATACCTTAAGTTTGTTTAATATATAGTCCCTTTTATTACCAAAAAAAAAAAAAAAAGAGTATATTCCGACACTTTGGACTCTTTTTGGAAAATATCTGACCACAATGGGAGAGCTACATAGAGATGTGCAGTCTCTTTTACATTTGCTTTTTACTAAAATATGTGCAGAGAAATTAATCACCTCTCTGAGAAAAGGTAGAGTCCCATCTTGCATTCATGCTCTTATCTATTCAGTTTACGCTTGCATAGGCTTGTCAAGTTGAGGCTTGTCAGGATAGCAGTCAGCAGGACAAGTTCTTCATACATATGGAGTCTTGAATTCTGAAGGAAAATGGAGATGCTTCTTTTTAGATGGAAACAAACACCTCACTCCTTAGTGTGTGTGTATGGTTCCATTCTATTTTCATGTGGAAGTCTTTTTTTTTTATCACAAAATTGCAGTATCAAGCCAAAAATGGCAAAGATGGTTGCTAAGAATCAAAGAAATCAAGTTCAATTAAAAGAGATGACTTGAGCTCTTTTGGGTAGTTTATTTATGCTGTTAGGATGTCTGATCAGACTGAAAGTTTAACCGACTGACAATGGATTTATAACATAATTTTCATCATTTCATAGTGTATAAATAATTTCATTCCATTTTTATTTTCATTAGGTATAGATATCGTATAACCTCGAGGGATGGATTAAGTGGTACGGGAAAAGAGAGCGTATGACCCTAGGGGATGGATTGGATGATAGGGAAAAAGGGAGCGTAAGAGAGAGGTTTCGAATTCGAGATCTTTCACTTGCACTAAAGGAAAAAAAAAAACGTAGAACAAAATATTCAATTATCAATGTCCATCCAAAAAGTAAGCAAATTTTCTGCAAATAAGCAGTGAACAGGAGAATTGAAAGTAAAATTACCCAAAAGAAAGTTGACAAACGGATGAGTACCATTATTATTTATTGCTTTCACAATTGTTACAATAGCTCCCTCCTATAACATGGATTTACCCAACGTAAAAATGTCCAAAAACAACATCTGCTCCATTTGCTTCATCAACTCAACCATCTTACACAGAAAAGAAAATTGAAGATAAAAAAAGGGCTCTATGATAAATTTATTTGGACCTTATTCTTTTTATGCTTTAGTTGTATCCTTAATCCTTCATCGTTAAGAGCAATCTTGTTTGCAACAATAGAAGCAAAGGCACGCATTTGCATTTGAGCAAAATCCACGAGCAATGTTGTGAAATTTCCCTCCATGTTGTCTCACACATTCTCCATTGCAAGTATCATTTTGGCAAGTTTTTCCAAGGGGAATAGTAACCGCACATTCTTGAGTTCCATCCACCTTTGATATTGATCCAAAGCCTATATTTGGATTCAGCAAAAAGAGTAAAGAGTTAACATCTCAATATACATATATATACATATATATAGAAAATAAATAAATGTATATTTGCCATGCAAGGATGTACAAGAAAATCAAAAACCTTCTAAAATATTTTTTTCCCATTTAATGCCAAACATAATTATGGCCCCTTTGGGCAAATGAATTTTTTGGTTGTTTGTCTAAAACTTTACTGTAACTTACCGTAGAAGTTTTTTAAAAAATTTTTGAAGTGTGTTTTTTTTTTTTTTGAATATTTTGAAGTGTATAGTTTAAAAACTTTGAAAAGTTTTTTGAAGTTACTGTAACTAAAGTTTTTAAAAAAACTTGTAACAGACAAATTTGGCAAAAAACTTGTCTACCAAACAAGGCCTAATTAACATCCTAATAGAAAAGCTATGTATGTGCATTGATGTACATAGAAATGATAAAGAATTTATTGACAAGGACAAAACTCAAGACCCTTTGTTTGGAATGGCAAGTACAATAAGGGAATAAATTTACCCTTGTCTAATCACAAAGAATGACCCACAATGGGGGGGGGGGGGTAAAAAATGCAAGACAGGATGCTCAGAGAATTGAAATTTTACCAAGTGAGACAAGGAGTAGAAGAACTGTGGTAGCAGCAATGGTGTAATTCCTCATCTTTTCTTTTCCCTAGTTTCTGAAATTT